TTTTTTTAAACATTAGTGACAAAAAACTACATGAAATTATTTATATTAAGTAGATACAGTAAAAATTGTGAAAAAAACAAAAATAAATGCATTGATAAAGCGCAAGACTATGCCTGAATTTATAAGCACACGTATGTCAATTGCGACACGTGCGTGTAATACTGATAATAAAACAATGGGACATACTGTTCTCGATTTGGTAAATAAAAAAATTTAAATAATAGCAGTAACGAAGAACCTTCTGGGAGCTTTGTTTATACTACTATACGAGGCTGCTAAACAATTTCGATTCTCAAGGTGGATTCATAAACCACAAATACAAGAGTATATTAATTATTTTATAAATTTTAAATCGCACTTCGATGCACCATATAATTCACATTTTAAGAACTATGTAAATGATTAACAGAATCATAAACTTTCAAATCATTTCTGTTCAAATAAAATAATTTGGACACTGACTAGATTAAAATGTTTCCAACAAAATAAAACGTTAATTTCTTTTTGATCTTTTACGTTCCATCCGGTGAATGGCTACTTTCATAACGTTTCCATCTGTCTGTCCGTCTGTCGTCTCTAGTTTATTAAATTGATTATTGTCAAGTTTTATTTGTATTTTAGAAATATCGTGTAAATGGTAAAACACTAACCAAAATTTGTTTATCAAAAATTTGGCGACCTCACCTTAAAATTTTGCATAGCAAATGTACGTAAATCTATCAAATAACACACTCTTAAACTTGTGGTTTATGAATCCGCCTGGATTTTTTTAACGTTGTGCGAAGCATTCATTCTCGTGTGATAACTAATTATTTTATTGTTAATCTTTACACCCAGTATATTTAATATGACAAGAATATCTTTCATCACTACATATGTGTACTTATCTTCTGAAATATCAAATTTATAATAGAAACGCCGTAAGTCTTAGGTGAACCAAATCGTTTCCAATTATTTTTTCCTTTATTCATCGATAAAACCAAACACGCTATGAATAATAGTTATTTTGTACTCTGGTTCAGTAATACAAAAATAGAGTGTGATTAACAAAAATTGTCTTCGACTTGGCACCAGACTTTCTCATTCCAGATTACGACTAACAGATGATGATAAAGAGAAAAAAGAGCTTCCTCGCCAACCACCAACTTGAGGACATTTTTTTGTTGATCATACTTTAACTGGACGAGAAATACTTAATGAACTAAAAGTTTTTTTTCTAATGAGTACTAAAAAATTCGTTAATGAGATTTAAAAAATATCATGATAAAGTTTTTTCGACTCAGACCTAAAGTATAGTTTCCCCAGTTATAATTCGGTTTTATGTAAAATTTAACTTCCGTAACAATAGATTACTACTGCCGGTGATGGGACAGTTATAAATAAGCATTTAACCATTATACAATATAGTGGTAAAGGCATGATTAAATCCTTATTTACGACTGTCCCATCACAGGCTTTAGTAATCTATTGTTAAGGAGGTTAACTTTTAAAACCGAATTGGAACTGGGGAAACTATACAATGAAACATATCCAGCATTTTCGAGTTGAGCTTTTACTATACGCAATTTTGTAAAGACGTCATCAATATTTTTGTACTGTATTCCCAAAATTTTCTGAAAAAATAGACTGAGCCGTTCGAAACTCATCATATTTTGCACATTGTGGGTAGAATTTATTCGGCAAAATTTTGAGATAACGTCATCAATTTTTTGGAGGGAATAAAGAGATATATTTTGATTAACAATTTACTATGCTTACAATAACTTTAAAACGTCTGCAAGATTTCAAATTATTAAGTTTTGGAATTCTTGATTTAATCAATAAAATAAATGGACTCAGTCATTAATTTTTTGAGACACCCTGTATAAGCAAATTTAAAAAATATTAATGCAGTGATAAATCACAAGTACAGACATCATAAAATTTTGAGCTGACGTCATCAATTTTTTGGAGGAGATAAGAAAATATATTTTGATTAAAAATTTTATCATGCTTGTCATAACTTTAAAACATCTGCAAGATTTCAAAGCAAAAATTTGGACGTTTTGGGTAAAACCTCAACATGGAGTCATAAACTACATGTGTAGTACTATGTTATTTTATACAATTTAAAACCCATTTACTATGAACAATTTTGAAGTGACATCATCTCATTATTGGTGGTGATGATTAGACAAATTTTGGTTATCGTTTTACCATCTACATGATATTACTAATATAAGTACAAAATTTGACAACAATCAGCCCAGTACTTTCGGAGATTTTATGTTTAATAAAAAACCGGACGGCAGCCACAGACAGACAGACAGACGGACACACGGACAGACAGACGGAAACGAAAGACCTATTTCTTCGTACTCTAGGGGTCATGAAAGGTCGAGAAAACGTAAAAGTCGGTCGACGAACTCGAAAAACAAAAATGGCCTTACAAAAAAAGTTTTAGAGTATCTGTCAAGAAAGTAACTTTTTCGTATCAACATTTTTTTGAACAATATGTTACATAAAATAAAAAATTTGACTAGATGTATTTACACAGAACTTTCTACGCCCATGAAAGGTAGTCATTTAAACAAAACCTGTTTCTTAGTCAAATTAAAAATTTAAACCTACACTGTTTTTTAAGACAATTTCTACTTATACGTCAAAGTAACGATATATAAAACATGTCAATTTTGACAGTACACTAATGACAGTATAAAGTCCACTCATACTATACAATATATTAAACTCACTTGGCATACAGCTTGTAAAACTTTTATGACTTAAGCACCCTTATTATTCCTGTCCATTGTTGCCATATGGAGCTGTAAACTGAGTTAAGTTATACAATAGCCAGTTTGACTTGTGACGGTGCTTTGGCTTAAGTCGCTTAAGTCACAAAAGTTTTACAAGGTGTATGTCAAGTGTGTTTAGTATACGAACAAGATTTACTTGGCAAAATTTTAAGATGATTTCATAACCATCAACAGACGATCGACAGGCGAAAACGGGGAACCTCTTTGTGATATTTTAGGAGCTACAAAAGGTCGAAAAATCAATAAAGTAGTTTATCTTACACTCATGAAGTAAAATGTTTAAGAGAAGCCTATTTTTTGGTTTTTTCTTTTCAAAATAAATTTCATTTGAACTTCACAATTACTAAACTGTAATAAAACTAAATTAAATGCCATGGTTTAATAACTGATTAAGTTATTTAAGTACGAACCCAAGATAATAAATGAATAAATGAACATTTGTGTTTGACTCTTGTAAAGCTTGTTTACCTGAATTCTTTAATGTAACATACTTTAATCACCCATACTCCGGTAGTGCCTTTGATTCTAATGCATTATGTTACGAAAAGACAACTCAGTGATAAAGCGCAAGACTACGCTTGTATTTATAGTGAGTTTTACCATTTGAAAATGTTCTGATCAGCATTTCAGCAAGCACACGTATGTCAATTCCGACACGTGCGTGTATTACTAATAATACAACAATGGGACGCACCGTTCTTTATTTGGTAAATAAAAAAATATAGATAATAGCAGTAACGAATAACCTTGTGTGAGCTCCGCTTATACTAGGATAAAAGGCTGCTACGCAATTGGATGCTTCGGGGAAAAGCTCAAGGTGGATTCATAAACCACAAATACAGGAGTATATTATTTTATAAAATTCACCATGGTACAATAAACGTCACAAAAACTATGTAAATGATTAACAAAATCATAAACTTTGGACCCATGGTCAGCCCGAATTAAACCATTTCTTGTAAAATAAAATGAGAACTTAAATTTTATAAAATAAGATACTCCTATACATGTGGTTTATGAATCCCCCTTTTTTAAACCATTAAAAAGAAATCGCAAAAACCTAAAATTTTAATGTTGTGCGAAGCATTCGTTCTCGTGTGATAACTAATAATAATGTACGATTTAATGAAGAGGTTTTATGCAACTATTGAATAATAGTTATTGTTTACACCCAGTATATTTAATATGACTAATATCTTTCACCACTCCGTATGTATGCTTAGCTTCTCAAATAACAAAGTAAAATCAAACACACTGTGAATAATAGTTATTCTGGTCCAGTAATACCAAAAAAGAGTGTGATTAACAGAAAATGTCTTCAACTTGGCGCCAGACTTTCTCATTTCTCATTAGGAATAGCAGATGATAAAAAAAGTTGCTCATCCACCACCAACTTGAGGACAATTTTTGTTAATCACACTTTATTTTTACACCTACTGTACCAGAAATAATTAATGATTTAAAAGTTCTTTTCTAATGAGTATTAAAAAAGTCGTTAATGAGATTTAAAAAATAACATGATAAAGCACTTATACTTGTATTACAAAAAATCGTTTTATTTAACTTTCAAAATTCTGGTTAAATATTTAAATATGAATTGTGTATTTAATTAAAGTTGAGCAAAATTTATTTTTCTAAATACAGTACTTAAGGCCAATTCTGCTTAAGTACATAACAATCTGCATTTAACATTTAATAAGTTCTATTATAGGAACATATGTTAAAATATTTAGCGATTTTACTGAAGAAAGCCAATTCTGAATTGTTAAAATTAAGGTATAGTTGTTGTCATCAGTTGTTAGTTATATTACCTAACACACTAGGTACACACTTCCACTATTACAATCATTTAGGTTCCACTTGGATTTGTGTTGCAACTGACAAGCAATATACATCCTCAAGGATATTCCAACAATGCTTTTGGTCATGGTATACTAATAATATTGATTTTGGAAACCAGAAAAACTGTCTAACTTAATTACTTATTAGCAACCGACATCCGTACTAAGTGTTACTTAATCGGAATGACCTCACAAATCATCCAATTAATAATGGTTAAGGATATTACAACACCAAGGTACCCGAATTATCTCAATTTTTAACGATCAATACAAAAACAACAAACTGAAAGTACCCACACAATATTACTAAAAAAAATAAAACAATATGTCTTACAAAAAATCCAATACAAAAAAAATTGCTCACCTCAGGTGGAACCCTCACAAGTGCCAAAAATCCATAACTCCTGGCGAGAACAGTTCCAACAATAAAAAATTTGAAGCACAGGTAAACCACGACACTTTAAAAATCCACTCACTTAACGTTCACATTTTTTTCTGTTGCGTCTTTTTGCTGTACGATTTTCGCATTCAACGCATCGGATTTACCTCAAGTGCTACGCGGCGTATCGAGGACGGTGAGCGAATGGTAAATGTGGGGCAAAAATTGAAAACAGTTTGTGTGCGGTTATGGAGGGGCGAAGGAAGTGCCATAAAGGTGCAATTATGGTTTTTTGTTGTTTGTTTTTAATGTTGAACGTCGTGGAAACTGAAATACGAGAAAAAGCGGTGTTTAAATCTGTGTCGATATAATTAATAAATTGATGGAGTTAAAGGGAAAAAACTCTGGTACGGCGAATTGTGCATTTCTCTTGGGTACGATCAAACGGAAAACCATAAATTGTGGATCATCTGCAGCTGTAATTGCAGTGTAAAATCGCTTGTCGAATCTTTTAATTGTTGTAGATGCAGCTTTAGATATTGTCCGTAATAGGCGTGATGCCTACTTTCCTAATTTTTTTGGAGGTGTATTGTAAAACTTTAACGTTTGAGAAATAGACTGCTCCCTGAAAGTTAACGATTTTATTTCACTTTGGTTTTTATGATCATAAGCAATCGAGGAGAGCTGTAAAACACTGGTTTTGGTAAAGGTACAATTTCATGTTTTTTTGACATTTAACACACCGAAAATTCAGATTTATTATTATACTTAAAATGGTAAACTGTAATTAAAATTTAACGCCTACACAAAAAGACGACAATTAATTAAACTTACAAACCATAAAACCCACTGCTGTGAAATCGTACACACGTAAATCGGTAATGAAAATTTTGTTGTTTGTCTTCTCCAACAACTTGCTGAATTGAAATCAATATTTAGATTTGAAAGAATCGTTTTAAGAATTAAAATTAATCTTACGGTCTTTATTGTCTTTATTTTAATAAAAATATTCTTGGGATGTCTTGCGTATATTTTTTTTTAAGAATTTGAAAGAACCTTGAAGTTTCTGATGTTTTCTTTCAGATCGAATTTGTAAGAATCTTGGTGTTTTAGTTTCGCAACATATTAAGATAACCTTTGATATTTTGTGTTTGAAATTGTTTGAAAGAATCTTGTAATTCCACGTGTTTTTTTTTGTTTGAAGTTAAAATAAACTTTTGAGATGTTTTGTTTTTTAAACGAATTCGAAAATTTTGCGACGTTTGGATTTTCGTTTTTGACAAAATTTGAAAATTTTTTGGATGCATATTGTCGTTTTTTTAAGAAATTAAATTAATTTTGGGGTCCCTACAGCTTATTTTTAAAACTCTTTTGAATCTTGGGGTTCCAAAATCTTAAAAACCCTACTCTCTTCATAAAAAACTTAGGATATGTTATATATATTTTTTTTGAGAACTTTAAATAGTCCTGAAGTTCTTGATGTTTTCTTATTGAAGGAATTTGATAGAATGTTGGGGGTCGCTGGTGTTTTGTAATAGAAATAATTTTAAAGAACGAATATGAAAGAATCTTGGGGATCCCCGGTGTATTAGTTTTGAAAGAGATTATTAAAAGAACTTTTTACTTCCCGAGCGTAAGTGAAGGAAGTATTGTAATCGAGGCCGTCGACCGACTCTCTACTTTTACATTTTCTCCACTTTTTATGACCCATAAAGAACGAAAAAATAGGTCTCCCGTTTCCGTCTGTCTGATGGGTTTTAAATTGTATAAAATAACATAGTCCTACACTTATGTAGTTTATGATTCCGTGTTGAGTAATAAACTACATATGGAATAATCAGATTTTTGGTTTTATACATTTTGGATTTAATTTTGTATCTGCATAACAAAATCTTCCAGATATTTTAAAAGCATAATAAACTTTTAATCAAAATATATTTGCTTATCCTCTCCAAAAAATTGATGACGTCACCTTAAAATTTTGACAAATAAATCCTATCTAAAATGTGCAAAATACGATGAGTCCATAATGATTGTGATTTATCACTACATTCATGTTTTTTAAATTTGCTTATACAGGATGACCCAAAAAAATATATGAATCAGTCAATTTATTTTATTGAATAAATCAAGAATTGCAAAATTGAATACTTTGAAATCTTCTCCCAAAAAAATGATGACGTCATCTTAAAATTTTGCCAAATGCATTCTACCCAAAATGTGCAAAATATTTGTGTAAAGAAAAAACTCAACTCGAAAATGCTGGATATGTTTCACTGTATTTTAGATGCAAGGGAAGTTCTGTAGAAAGAACTTTCGACCAAATAAAAAAATAAATTGAATGAATCTTATGGCCCCAAATGTTTCTTTTTTAAAAGAATTTAAAGTAATGTTTATGGTTCCTGTGGTTTTGTGTTTGTAAGAATTTGAAAGACTGTTGGAAGCATGTGTTTTGTGATCGCAAGAAATTGAAAAAATGTTGAAGGGTTTGTTCTTTCGTTTTTAAAAAGATTTGAAAAACTCTTAGTGGTCCCCCTGTTTTCATAAAGAAAAGAATAATCCTATGTACTGTTTTCATTTTTCCTGACTCCTCACGTACGAAAAAGTAGGTCTGGCGTTTCCGTCTGTCTATCTGTTTGTCTGTCTGTCAGTCGACTGTTCAGATTTTTATTAGACAGGTAATCTCCGAAACTACCCGACCGATTGTTGTCAAATTTTAGATGTATGGTGAAACGCTAACCAAAATTCGTCTCTAGTACTTGTTACTCAGATTTTATAAAATAAGAGTTGCAGTTGTGGTTTGTGAATCCGTGTTGAATTTTTACCATTGACAATTATACATGCAGATTTTTGGGGAAAAAAAATCAAAATTGAGTAATTACATTTCGCAATTTAACTTGGAAACTGCAAAACCGAATGGTTTAAAATCTTGCAAACGTTTTAAGATTATCGTAATATTTAATGGGTTAATTTTTCCGCATAAATGATTTTTATTATAAAATAGCATACTCCTACATGTGTGATTTATAAATTCGCGTTAAATATTTAGCCTGGACATCTAGACTTTTGGAAAAAAAAATTAAATTGTATAATAACATTTTACAATTTAACTTTGAAATTGAAGGACAGAATGCTTTGAAAACTTGCAAACCTTTTAAGGTTGCATGGTACTTACAATTTTCCAAATAGATGTCCTTCAAATTTATAAGTGTTCATACTAGACATCCAATTTTTATTCCTGGGCGTTAGCTATTATTTCATGACCCCTAGAGTGCGAAAAAGTGTTTCGCATTTCCGTGTGTCTGTCTGTATCATTTTATATTACACACATAATCTCCGAAACTACCAGACCGTTTGTTGTCAAATTTTGTTTGTATATTAAGAATATCATGAGATAGATGGTAAAACGCCAACCAACATTTGGGTAATCATGCCCACCATCAATGGGACCAGGTCGTCTCCAAAATTTACAATATTAAATTTGTTTTTAATTTTATAAAAAAGGTACTCCTGCATTTGTGGTATACGAATCCGTTTTGAATTTTCACCCTAGACATTGAGATAAAAAAAAAACAAAATTGTATGTCAACATTTTGCCATTCTACTTTGAAACTGCAAAATTGATGACGTCATCTCAAAATTTTGCCAACTAAATCCTATCTGAAATATGCAAAATAGTGTGACTCTGTACTTGTAGTTTATTAAGATATTCATAGTTTTTAGAATTACTTATACAAAAATATAAAAATATGAATTAAAAAAAAATAATGAGACAATTTATTGTATTGATTAAATCAAAAACGACTCATTCCATTTCCACGAAAATTTGGAAATGCAGTACTCTTATTATTAGTATTACACATCCAAAACATTGTAATGACAATCTCACGCGTAACACGTTTCTTTATCTTTACTTTAACATTATATACATACCTTTATTTTAACTTATAAGGGTTATCATAAAAAAACAAAATTTACAAAATCAAATGCTATAATTTTTCAAAAAATCTGGATTTATTGTATTGTATTTCAGGAGCGACCAATTTTTTGGGATAAAAGTCGAGTGTGCTTGATTAATTTAATTAGTCCTGTCCTCTGTGTTAAGGAGACAAAATAAAACAAATTTCATTTTCTTTTCACACTAAGCCGACGCTGTTGCTCGTTATCTGAACGTGATAACTGATAATAGTCTAATTATTCTTTCGAAATATAAACATAAACACTTGAAGTTGAAAATACGATTTTTCATGTTGATTATCTGCTTTAAATATATTTCATACTGTCCGCACTTGTGACGATCACGTCCCATTGACATTTGCGCCCCCGCAGCCCGTTATTTGCACCACTAGTTTTTCCTTTACAGAGGTTATGATAACAGAAATCGCAAATCAAATTTTATGGTTTTTCATTAGAAGCGGAATTTGTTGGACTGTATTTCAAGGACGAGGAAAGTTCTGTCGAAATAACACGAATTTTAAAGAGTCTTGAAGCTTCTAACGTTTTCTTGTTGAAAGAATTTGATAGAATCTTAACGACTTGAAATAACCTGGTGTTTTAGTTTTAAAAGAGGTTAAAAGAACCTTGGACACCTTGGGTGTTTTATGTTCGAAAGAATTGGAAAATATCTTGTGGTCCCACGTATTTTTGTAAGCATTTAAAAGAATCTTTAAAATGTCTACTTCAAATACGAGGGAAGTTCTATTTTAAACTTTAGACCACTTTTTTCACTAACTTTACAGCCGTCATCTTTAAATTGTCATCAAACATTTTGATAAATTGTCAAGTCATAATTAGACCGAACTAATTTTCAGTAAATAAATAAGTAGTTCTGAAGAAAGTTCAAAACGTACTCTTAGGAATTGTTGTTATACAGCATAAATTCTTACTGACGTTCTAGACGTCCTAGACAATTAACTCTTCTTTTAGTGTTTTTAACGAATTGTAATCAGCAACTCCGGTAGTGATAGTAGAACTGGGTGATAAAGAAATTTGGAGATCGTACTTTGATCAATACAGTATCAATATTCAGGATATTATAATAACGGGACCCTGACCAAATTTCAATGCAACACAAAATACAGATCTCATATGTTTGTCAAATTTGAGCCCCGATAAATTTTTAGTTTTGGCGATAAGATGAGGGTTAAATACACGAACGATGAAAAGGTTGATATGATCTTGATTTTTGGAG